CAGTGCACTAAATATTATGACTTGGAGTGGTATAAGCCAACAATTAACAGAACTTACTTTGGGGTCAGATAGATGTGGATTTCAGTTCTAGTTCCACCACACTGCTGTGTGCCCTTGGACAAAGTACTTAACTTCTCTGAGTGGTAGTCTCTCCATCTGAAATGATAACAGTAATAGTTACAACTGTATAGTATTTACTATGTTCCAGGCACTGTGGCAAACGCTTGTCATGTGTTTAACTCATTGGCTCTTTACAACAACATCATGAGGTAGGTATTATAATTATTCAGATTTTACAGTTGAGGAAACCGACCCAGAGAAAAGTAAAATAACTTATCAGAGGTCTCACAAGGGGTAAATAGCAGAGCCCTGCTTTGAAACCAGACCTATGTTCCTTACCATAACATAAGACCTCCTCTCTTTATCCTAATGATGAAGATAATGATTCTTCCTATCTCAAAGGATCATAGTGAAAAGTAAATGTGAACATCCATGTAAAATACTCAGAACAGTGCCCACCATATGGTACCTTCCAGAACATGCCAGCTGGCATTACTGTTATCACTTCTGCTGCTTTGAGCCCCAGTGAGGCAGGCTAGGACCTGGGGCCCTTCGCTGCAGTGCTTGCATCTGGACAACAAAATACAAAGAACCTATATGGTACTAAAAATAACTGTGCGCCTGCGCAGCTGGGGCAAATTCTGCACAAAAGATACAAAGAGACCAAAAAACACATGCTACTTTTGAAGAGCCAGGAGCAAAAACAGGGTACTGCACATACACCTGCACACAACACCTTCTAATCCACCCCTCCGCCCGGCCCCTGGACACACCCCTACTCACACCCCATAAGAGGAACCAGCTGGCTCCCACTCAGAGAGCAAGCAAGCAAGGGAACCTGTTATTTCTTCTCCATCCCCCCTGCTGCAGCAGGGGCCCCAATAAAGCCTTGCCTGAATTTCTTGTCTGGCCTCTGATCAATTTCTATTGATTAAGGAGGCCAAGAACCCTGGTCGGTAACAACTCTACCCATCCTGTACTCAAATCTTGAAGGGTTGAAAGATCGTAACCGTATGAAATTCGAAGTATGTAACTGTCTGCAAGGTGTGTGTGTGGGTTTTTTTTGTCAGGTAAGGTTTTACTGTGGCCCCTGCTGCAGCAAGGAGGAGTGAGAACTAACAACAGGTTTCCTTGCTTGCTCGGGAACTGCAGGGGTGGGGAGAGCAGGTTCCTTATATGGGGCGAGGGTGGGGGTGTGTCCAGGGGTCGGACTGGAGGGGCGGCTTAGGTGTTTTGCCCACCCCTCTGGCGGTGTTGAGTGTAGGGGGCATGCTCAGTACCCTGCCTTTGCTCCCTTCACCCAGTTTTTGCTCCTGGCTCTTCAGAAATGGCAGTTGGGCTTTATTGGTCTTTTGTATCTTTTGTCCAGAATTTGCCCCACCTGGTCATGCACGCAGTTATTTTTAGTCCCGTACAGTTTCTTTGTATTTTGTTCCTGGAGGAGAGGTGTGTCCAGGTGCAAGCGCGGCAGCAAAGGGTCCCAGGTCGCAGCCTGTCTCATTCCCCCGGAGAGATTCTACACCCCTATTCTTTTTTTTTTGCGGTACGCGGGCCTCTCACCGTTGTGGCCTCTCCCGTTGCGGAGCACAGGCTCGGGACGCGCAGGCTCAGCGGCCACGGCTCACGGGCCCAGTCGCTCCGCGGCATGTGGGATCCTCGCGGACCGGGACACCAACCCGTGTCCCCTGCATCGGCAGGCAGACTCTCAACCACTGCGCCACCAGGGAAGCCCCTACACCCTTATTCTTAAGGGGGAAGGGGCCGAAGGTCTCTTCTTCTGAAACTTCTTCCTGCTGGACAGGGGCCGCCGACCGTAGCCTACCCTAGAGGTGTAGAAGTCCCTCGCTGACTGTTCCAAGGACCTGTGGGGACCTGGGCCACTCTCTGCTGGAATGGGTTGAATACCTTGAGCCATAGTGAGCCTTACTTCAAACTGTTGGAGCCTAGAAGACACAGACTTAACCAAAAGGTTAAACAAACACGGGCCAAAATGAGAAGAACAACAACAGCCTTAAAGAGTCTAGAAAGGGAAGGAACCAGGTTAACTTTGGGAGGGCTTCTTTAACTGTTGACCAGACAGGGAGGCGATGTCACCCCTACCAAGAAGCCATTCTTTCTGGGTGTATACTTTTGTTAATCTCAGGGTTAAGGTTTGACATGTTTCTCTATTATTAGAGTGGAAGGTCGGACCTGTTGGTCCCAGGTCTCCTTGGACAAAAAAGTCTTAGTCACAGGTTTACAACAGTAGGGAAAACCACGGAGTACTAGATGAAATATAGCATCAGTCAGTATGACTGAAAAGAAAAGGGTTATAAGAAAATGAAAACCTCCTACCAGAAAGTTTTTAATACCTTGTGGGATCCAAGAGAACAAACTAGAGAACCAGTTTTTAATTTCCCTGCCCATATTCAATAGCGAGGATTGGTGGTTAATTGTCTGCTGAAGCCAGGTGGCTTGTAGAATTTTAATATACCATGAGCCATGAACACATGCACAATCATTTGTGAACTGAAGCCTTTTTTTTTTTTTTTTTTTGCGTTACGCGGGCCTCTCACTGTTGTGGCCTCTCCTGTTGCGGAGCACAGGCTCGGGACGCGCAGGCTCAGCGGCCACGGCTCACGGGCCCAGCCGCTCCGCGGCATGTGGGATCCTCGCGGACCGGGACACCAACCCGTGTCCCCTGCATCGGCAGGCAGACTCTCAACCACTGCGCCACCAGGGAAGCCCCTACACCCTTATTCTTAAGGGGGAAGGGGCCGAAGGTCTCTTCTTCTGAAACTTCTTCCTGCTGGACAGGGGCCGCCGACCGTAGCCTATCCTAGAGGTGTAGAAGTCCCTCGCTGACTGTTCCAAGGACCTGTGGGGACCTGGGCCACTCTCTGCTGGAATGGGTTGAATACCTTGAGCCATAGTGAGCCTTACTTCAAACTGTTGGAGCCTAGAAGACACAGACTTAACCAAAAGGTTAAACAAACACGGGCCAAAATGAGAAGAACAACAACAGCCTTAAAGAGTCTAGAAAGGGAAGGAACCAGGTTAACTTTGGGAGGGCTTCTTTAACTGTTGACCAGACAGGGAGGCGATGTCACCCCTACCAAGAAGCCATTCTTTCTGGGTGTATACTTTTGTTAATCTCAGGGTTAAGGTTTGACATGTTTCTCTATTATTAGAGTGGAAGGTCGGACCTGTTGGTCCCAGGTCTCCTTGGACAAAAAAGTCTTAGTCACAGGTTTACAACAGTAGGGAAAACCACGGAGTACTAGATGAAATATAGCATCAGTCAGTATGACTGAAAAGAAAAGGGTTATAAGAAAATGAAAACCTCCTACCAGAAAGTTTTTAATACCTTGTGGGATCCAAGAGAACAAACTAGAGAACCAGTTTTTAATTTCCCTGCCCATATTCAATAGCGAGGATTGGTGGTTAATTGTCTGCTGAAGCCAGGTGGCTTGTAGAATTTTAATATACCATGAGCCATGAACACATGCACAATCATTTGTGAACTGAAGCCTTTTTTTTTTTTTTTTTTTGCGTTACGCGGGCCTCTCACTGTTGTGGCCTCTCCTGTTGCGGAGCACAGGCTCCGGACGCGCAGGCCCAGCGGCCATGGCTCACGGGCCCAGACGCTCCGGGGCATGTGGGATCCTCCCGGACCGGAGCATGAACCCGTGTCCCCTGCATCGGCAGGCAGACTCTCAACCACTGCACCACCAGGGAAGCCCGTGAAGCCAGTTTTTAACCTGAATTCTGACTGGAAACAAGGTCAAGTAATCCCACAATGCCTTTCGGCCCTCATGGTCTTTCTTAGCTCCTAAATCATGGATCCTCCCTTACACTTTTATTTCAAAATTCTCTGAGCTTCCTCTCCTCGGAAGTAACCATCTTCTGAGAAAAGACAGCAAAACTTTCAAGAGCGTGTTCTACATGTTCCCAGCCTCTTTATTTGAACATACCCTTCAGTTCCTGGCCTTAACCAGAAACCTAGCTCTTCTCTGCTGACCCTTATGAAGGAGCTGGAAGGAAAGATAATAGATGTGGTTCAAGAGTGAGATGCTGGGGCTTAAGGTTTCAGGCAGGGACCTGACAGCTGAGGATGGGGCCGTCGGAGTGGATTCTGAAATGAAGCGGGAGGTAGGCCATCAGAACTGAGATGGAGGGAGAAGCTGAAAGACTTACATGGTTCACTCCTCCCCAGCCTTCGGATCTGACTTTCCTCAGGGAACCCAAGGCTCTTCCGTTTTAGGAGTCGGTGGAACCATCTTCCTTCCTTCACAGCTCTGATCGGTTTTATAACTTGTTAATGTGGTCATATGGCTTCCTCTGGCTGGACTGTAACTTATGAGTGGAGCCTTGGTCTTTAGTCACCTCTGTGCCGGCCCCCTGCACAGGGCCTGCCGCTTTTAGAAGGCATACTGTAGAAAGCAATGAGATTTGGAATCATAAGATCTAAGCCCTTATCTAAGCCAAGCGTCAGTGAGCAAGTCACTTAAATTCTGAATCTTGTCCATAAAAATGACGGAAATCGTACCTGCTTTGCAGGATTTCGTGAGATATGTGTCAGATAATGTCGATGTGGGAAAGTGCTTCTGCTACACAGTTTGTTGCTACAACCTGGGAAAGAGTAAACCTGTCTCAGAAGCGTCCAGCCACACCCTCCGGGAGGCACCCGGAATGAGAAAAACCTCCGAACCATAGAGTTCAGTTCCTAGCTGGGCCTCCCAGCCCTCCACTTCCGCTTGACCGCCTAAAACCGCGCCTGCGCAGTTGGCCACTTCCTCTCTGGGCTTGGACCTAGGTTGCTGCGTCATGGTGAGTGTTGCTCCCGGGTGAGGCCTAGATGTGTATCTGCTTGCATCTATCCTTTTTTTTGTTTGTGTCTTTGTCTTAACCTACCTCTCTTGCTCGCCCGCTCTGTGCCGTGTCCCCGGCCTCTGTACCCTCGCCGCTCCTTTCGGATGCGGCTTGGAGCGGATGGGCGGGGGAGCTTGGCGGGGGGGCTGGCGCGTCCGGCCGGGTTAACCGGGTGCCCTCGGAGCACCGGGCCCACCGTCGGTCCTGGTTTTACCGGGATGGGGTGGAATGGGGGGAGCTACGTGACAGGCGGGGGCTGGGTGGGTGGAAGAATGGCGTATGGAGGCCCCGGGACTTGGTGGAGTGGAGGGGCGAAGTCTCCGTTTCTTGGTCCTAATATCGCTGGTTTCTCTCTTATCTCATTCTTAACAGGCGAAACGCACCAAGAAGGTCGGAATCGTGGGCAAATACGGGACCCGTTATGGTGCCTCCCTGAGGAAGATGGTGAAGAAAATTGAAATCAGCCAGCACGCCAAGTACACTTGCTCCTTCTGTGGCAAGGTAAGATGGGCGCTGGGACGGGGGGAGAGGGAGGGAAGGTTTCCTTCTGAAGTGAGCCCTCTCTTGAAGGAAGTTTATAAATGGTTTGCTGGTTCTAAGTTGTTGAGCGGTTAGAGTTGCACATACCATTGGTGACCCGTTATGAGATAAGAGTATTGTTTATAATTTCAGGTTTTGTCAAACGCTTTTCATTTAAAGAAAACTATTTGGGAGCTAAAGGGGGAAAAATTATTTGGCAGCCCCAGCCGAAACCAAACCTGCTTTGTGGGACATGTTCTGTGTTTTGTCTACTGATGTTGCTAGAGATTTTTGTTAAATATTTGTATGTTTATTGTGTGCAAAAGTACTGTTATGGCAATGCTTGCTTTGGGGGGAGGGAAGGGTCTTCCACATCCCTGGAAGTGTCACCATGGTGAATGCAAATTTTGCACCAGCGAACTTGAAATTAGAAAAAACATGAATAGCCACATAAAATACACCAGCTTTAGTTTTCTAGTGTAATTTAGACCCCTGGATGTTTATTATATAAAAGGCTCTTTTTTGGTCATAGGAAAAATTGATTGTCTTTTACAGACCAAGATGAAGAGACGAGCTGTGGGCATTTGGCACTGTGGTTCCTGCATGAAAACTGTAGCTGGTGGTGCGTGGACCTACAAGTGAGTCCATTTCTTTCTGGTATTTGGAAGCGTTGGGAGCATGTCGAAATTCCAGGTTTGTTGCTGGATGGGCTGGTTTGTTTAACAGGTCTGTTAGTTGGGCTGACTGCTGAACACTTGTGTGGCAGGCTGTTTTTATAAAAACTAAGAGGTCAGTTAGCTTATTACTGTATGTGTATGGAGGCCATCTGGGCCACCACGCCTTTGCCACTCTAAACAGTATTGGTTGGACTTTTTCAGCTTTGTGACTGACAAGGACCAGGTGATATTTATTGCTGTGATAAACCTCTGTGCTGGTTATTGATTGTGTGGACTCCTGAGTTTATCCGTTTCTGGAAACTCAGGCCACTCTTGAAGGCCGCTAACCTTGGAATTCATTGCTGACCCTGGAGGTTGACATGTTTTTCCTCTAGCTAGTGTGTGGACTTGTGCTGTCCAATACAGTAGTCACTTACATACAGTTAAGGGACTTGGCTAGTGTAGTTGAAGTTGTTGATTTTTGTTAAATTTAAATTTAAAATGGAAACAATGTAAAACGTTGGAAAATGTTGAAATGATAATGTGGATATACATAAAAGCACCTGTGGGAGTGTCTGTGAGGATGAAAGGGGAAGTGGGGAGTTGGTTGCTCTCCTGGCCGTGATGGTTAAATTAGCGTTCATCTACCACGTGGGGGTGGGGTGGGTGTATGTTTTTCAGGTGCAGTTCCTGAGTGTTGTGGCAAAACATTCTTCTGTCATTTCCACAATGTACTGTAGTCTGCTTTACTACCTTAGTCATTGTTTTCTTGATATCTCACCGTACCATCTTATAATTTATTAGTTTCTTCGGACATTCTGTCCGTTCTCTTTTAATGGGTTTAGTCCAGCCTCTTGTAGTCATTCCTTCATGTTAATTTCATGCTCCGCTGTCTGAGAAATCAGATGCATGAGATTCAGGTTCTGAAGACGTGGCTGTTAATAGATGCCATCATCGTCATTAAGATTGTAATGTAAAAATGAGGCACATTTCTCATTTGCCATTCTACATGTTAACTAGTTTTGGAACCAAATTTGTTTTTCTTTCCAGCACCACTTCTGCCGTCACAGTAAAGTCTGCCATCAGAAGACTGAAGGAATTGAAGGACCAGTAGAAGCGCCACCATTTGATACGTTGCTAGCCTATAATAAATGGGTTAATTTATGTAACAAAATTACTTTGGTTTGTTGTTAATTCTATTAGTTAGATGTTCTTATTTGCATTGCATTAACTTTCTAAAAAAGGACTTGGATACTAAAATTCTTTTAATTTTTGTTGGAAGAACATGCTCAGATGGGTTGTCATAATCCAGTTTTTTTTTCAATAGTGCAATGGTACATGACATAAAAATATGAGCCTAAGTCTGTTCTTGCCAGTTAGATTTCTTTGAGATACATTGGTTCAAAAAATGCAAACTTTTAAAATCACAGTTATATAGATTTTAATATTTTGAAGGTAGGATGACATACACTGCCTATTAACTTGGTGTTTTGTCTGACCACACATTGACCTTGTAGAAATGTTTGACACAGGCCTGCAGGAATGGGATTTTGGATCCACATAGGGAGGTGAATAAGCATTAGGTGGCTGCGGTTAAGAAGCACCAACTCAGCCAAACTGCCTAGGTAGTTGTATGGTGTATGTTAAGTTTCTTAACTTCTCTGCTTAGTTTCCCACGTAATGCCTGGTAGTAGAATGGAGTATGTGATGGGAGCTGGGATTACTAATTTGGAGTCTTATTTGGAGGCTTTTGTGTTACTTTGCTTGGGAATTTGGGTGTGATTCTGTAGGCAGTAGAGAATTACTAGAATTTTAAAAGTGGTAAGGTGACGTTTAACATTTGTTGAGCCTGGGTATTCTAAGCATAGAGTATTATTTAATACCACAACAACTTAATGAAGTGTAGATAATCTCATTTACACATGACAAAGTTATATAACTTGTAAATGATGAAGCTGGGATTTCAACCCATGCATTCTTGGCTCCAGAGCTGATATGCCTAGACATAGTTGTTTTTTTTATGATAGTTTAAGAGGAGTGGGTGGGGGGCATAGAGACCAATTAGAAGGCTGTTGAAGTAGTAAGTTGTTTTTTTTTCTCTCGGCACATGGTCTCTCACTGTCGTGGCCTCTCCCGTTGCAGAGCACAGGTTCCGGACACACAGGCTCAGCGGCCATGGCTCACGGGCCTAGCTGCTCCGCAGCATGTGGGATCTTCCCGGACTGGGGCACAAGCCCGTTTTCCCCTGCATCGGCAGGCGGACTCTAAACCACTGCGCCACCAGGGAAGCCCAGTAAATATTTTTGTGGCTAAAAAAATAGTGACTTTTCAGGCTTGCCTGGTGGCACAGTGGTTAAGAATCTGCCTGCCAATGCAGGGGACACGGGTTCGAGCCCTTGTCTGGGAAGATCCTACATGCCATGGAGCAAGTAAGCCCCTGTGCCACAACTACTGAGCCTTCGTGCCTAGAGCCCATGCTCTGCAACAAGAGAAGCCACTGCAATGAGAAGCCCATGCACCGCAGTGAAGAGTAGCCCCTGCTAGTTGCAACTAGGGAGAGCCCACACACAGCAACGAAGACTCAGCACAGCCAAAAATAAATAAATTCGTAAGAAAAAAATAGTGACTTTTCCAAGACTACAGGAGGTAGCTGGTAGGGGGAGGGCTGGAAATTACGTTTCTGACCCCTAATCCGTGCTTTCTCACCGTACTAGGCTGCCTTCTATTTTATGGGCTCAAGAGTGTGTGCCTTCCTAATCTGCTTCCCCGCCCTCTGGCTTGGTTTTACAGTGGTTTTCTGAACCTTTGTTTTTCTAAGCTGTTTAATTGACTTTGCATCAGGGTAAAAAGTAATGCCTGTGTTCCTCACTAGACTCTAAGCTTACCGGCCATCTCATTGTATTCTAAATATTTCCTAAGGATGTTACGGAAAACCCGAATGAACTTTTGGGCCAACCCAATGCTATTTGTGTGTATACAGGTCACCAGAAAGCCCAAACAGGAACACATCTAATTGCAAGTTTTGTTTTGGGTGTGTAGGTGAGGGCTGGGGATACTTGAGCTTTGTTTCAAAGGATAATTAGCGAGAGATGAGGACTAGAGGCCGAATTTTGGGACCAAAAATGGGCTAAGAAGGAATTGTGGGAGGACTCGGTTAAGATTGGAAATAACATCAGCAGTTTGGGAGTAGAACCAGAGCCAAGCAATCTGTACAGAGTTTTAAAAATTTCACTGTTAACGGTCTTCCTGTGGAAAACCAAAAGCCATTTTCTTGTTGATAGCACTTTGGGCCAGAATTCAACAACGGGGAAGGGAAACTTTAAGTATATGTTTTGGGATACGTGAGTCAAAATGAGTCAGGGGTCAAGTTACTGCCATGCCACAGTCAGCTCTGTAAGCCAGGACCCTTGAGAAGGAGTATCGAGGAGTGTGGGAGGTATGGCTGACACCAAAGAACTTCAGGTATATTTGTGGGTTCAGCCAGTGAAGAAGGGGGTTAATTAAAGATAGAGACTGTTCATTAAACCAGTGTGCATTGACCACTCCCTGAAATAAGGGCAAGATATGATCACTACTCTTTTAAGTTTGCTAGCAGGGGTGAAACAGCTTGGCTCATAAAACATTTACAAACTCCTGGTTTATGTGATAAAAGTGTTGTAAAGTAATTATATAAGGCAGTTTCAATCAAAATGCTAATTTTTTTTACCTGAAATCTGCAAAGTGTTCCCAAAATTTAATTTGGAAACAAAATTAGGACAAGAACAAGAAAATGTAGAATAGTGGTTAAAAACATGGATTCTAGAGTCAGAAGTAGGAGTTTAAATTTCTTACTAGCTAGTGACCTTGGACAAGTTTATTCTGTTTCTTCAATTTCCTCATTTGTAGAAAGGATATACTAGTTTCCCCCTCAAACAACAAATTAGGTAAAATTGGCTTTAGAACACTCAGTAACTGGATCTTGGAGAGGGAAAGAGTGCTAAGTTTGGAGATAGTGGTGCTGTATTTCAGTAGAAAGGAGGTGGAATCAGGAGGGAAACTGCCTGTGACAAAAGGATGAGTTACGATGTTGGGGAAGGAGGAAGAGATGCGAGGTTTGGGCTGAGAAGCTTTTATAAAGTACATTTTTGATCCCAGGGAAAAGAGCTAAAGCAAGATTTTTTGATACAGGAAGCTAATATGCCGTGTGTGTGTGTGTACGACCATATGACATACCCATAACCCATAATCCGGAGTACTCTACAGCTAAAATTCTTTGGGCTTTTGTGCTGTTCCTTGTAAGGAGAAGGTTTGTTTTACTCTGCTGCATCCCATCTGCTTGTGGTTTTATCTGTGAAGTTGTCATGTGGATCTGTCAAGGGTTACATTCTAGGATATTTTTGCTAAGGATCAAGAAATAATAACTTTTCCAGGTGTTTCACCTAGTATTCTAATTGTAGATTAGTCTTTCTTTAGCTTACTCCAGGCTGTGGAGGAAAGTAAGTTATGGTTTGGCTGCTTTTTGCACATGAATCATAAAAGAATTTCCCCAAGCACTATTGAAAAGGGATGGACAAATGATAGAGTAAATGGAACCAATCATATATATATTTTTTTTGACCGTGCCTTGTGGCATGCAGGATCTTAGCTCCCCAACCAGGGATGGAACCTGGGCACTTGGCAGTGAGAGCAAAGCGCCCTAACCACTGGACTGCCAGGGAATTCCTCCAATCATTTCTTTTTAGAGAATTTGAATCAAATGACCCAGATACACTAAGGTAAAGCACTAAGCTTTGGAAAACGTTCATGGACTCCTGCCAAGATCACAGAGCTGCCCCAATTCCTACCTGTTTCAGTTAGTTTTTTGGTTGCATGTAGGAGACTGACTCAGGCTAACTAAAGCAGAAGAGATATTTATTGGAGCATAATTGAGTGCTTCACAGGCTAGAAGAAAAAGACTAGGTTTGTAAGATGAAGAAACCAGGGCATCTTCACAGTTATCAATGGAGGAGCTGAGAGACAGTCCCCTTTATTTCTTTTTTTAATAAATGTATTTATGGCTGCATTGGGTCTTCGTTGCGCTGGCTTTCTTTAGTTGCATTGAGCGGTGGCTACTCTTCGTTGCAGTGCGCAGGCTTCTCATTGCGGTGGCTTCTCGTTGCAGAGCACGGGCTCTAGGCGCACAGGCTCCAGTGGTTGTGGCTCGCGGGCTCTAGAGCGCAGGCTCAGTAGTTGTGGCGCACGGGCTTTGTTGCTCTGCGGCATGTGGGATCTTCCCAGACCAGGGCTCGAACCCGTGTCCTCTGCATTGGCAGGCGGATTCTCAACCACTGCGCCACCAGGGAAGCCCCCTTTATTTCTTTTGGGCATTATTTTGGAGTCAAAAACCTGAAGAGAGGGTCCAATTGGCTTAGTTGAGGTTACATTTCTGTCCCTTGGAACCTTAGTCAACCGTCTCATCAGAACTACACATGACAAATCTCCAAGAGGAAATCAGTTTGGCTATAATTTTAGAAGGGCAAGTATCCATAACATAAAACTTACTACTGGAATTGTATTCTAAACTTACAAACCGTCTAGTTTAAAAGTAACACTTCTTGCATTTTGTCCTTCAAACCACCTTGCAAATTGCAACTCACTGAAGAACATTACAACTAGGCTACAAGTATACACTGTAAATTGTGCCTCAGTTCTTCCGCATGGAAACCTGAGGCCATTGACTATGATCAAAACAGGAGCTTACGGAAGTCAGATGCTATCTTGGATTGAGTCATCAGTGGGCAGTGTGGAATGCTGCCTCCCATCCTGGGGTTTTTACCCCACTCCCAGAATGTAGAATGGGACTAGATAATACTTAGTAGCTGGTGAATTAACTTTCATTCATCCCTTGGCCAACGGAGGGAAGGCTCTTAGTTTTGGAAAAGTCAAGCACAAACCTAGAATTGTACTCCTCTCCCTCCTCCCCTCCCCCTGCACCTAAAACATATACCAAGATAGTAAACCAAAAGGAATCCCTGGGGAATCAGATTAATGGTACGACTGAACAACTGAAATTGTCATGAGCAATGGTCTTGGTCATAACCAATCTTGGTGTGATTCCAAATGTAGTTCTATATTGGAGGAAAGCAACACCTCTGGCCCTGGCATGCCATTAACCTAACAAATGTTTCCACTCATCCCTATGTGCAAAGCAATCAAAAT